AAGAACTAGTAGAAGTCACATATAATAGTTATTTATGCGTTAGCGCGCACGAGCCGTATCTTAGTTTCGGGAAATTATCGTGGTCGATGAAATACGGCCTTCCCTCCCGAGATGCATACGTAAATTTATATTGCGAGTGCATATATGGTGCTATTTAATATGCCTGTGCGTTTTATTCTTGCGCGGGAACTACTTCTTTCAATCCCGCCGGGAGTGAAAAACACTAAACAGTCTCTAAAAAAGGGACATTCACTCCCGCCGGAAGTGAAAATAGCGCTAAGTTGCAGAATAGGTAGAAAGACTATCTTTCAACGCCTGCGCACAGGCATTGACTAGCACCGAATAAATACACAAGTGATATAAAAGAAATTATAATTAAAAATGTATTGCAATGAGTATTTATCACGATCTCTTCTACTTAGGCCCGATAACCAACGTTATTTTGACTTTAAGCGAGACTTAACACTCTCTTCTTCTCTCTTAAGATTTTAAAAAGAGACTTATTGTTTAAAGCCTCTTTTAAAGTCAAAATAAGTTGGTACAACCGGGTCTTAGTAAAATATGACCAACTAAATAAATTTAAAAAATATTACAAACAATCCATTAAACTATAAATATTAATTAAAAAATTTTGTTATCGATTGTAAAAATAATCATAATTCAAATATATATAGGTACTATGAATTTTGCAAGGTTATGTAAGGTATTGCCATTATTTTAAATGTAATTACATGGTTGTTTTATATGGTATAATTCCTTTAATTATTCAACATATAAAAGTATGAAGGTAAAGTTATCCAATCAAAAATCAACAGTTTACCAGATATATTTTATACTTTATTATAGTACATTTTTACTATTAGTATGTAAAATATAAATTTTCAAATGTGTTTTCTTTATACCATCTGTGTTTGAAAGTAGTATAAAGGTATGGTTTTGTTTGTAATGAAATATTGTAAAGTATTGATAAAATATCTCAAATAAATAATTTTTTGATAAATAAAACTTATTACTTTTATGCACAGAATAATATATTGGTTTAATTGACAAGAAACATATTTTTTTTTAAAAAGCAACTATGTGTTTTCTTTACATCAATTGATTTATTGTTCTGTGCATAAAAATCTTAAAGTTTGATAATAAAAAAATTAGTTTGTGACATATTAAACATTATATGTCGAAATGTGTTAAAACAGAAAAAATATTGTAAACTGTTAATGATTTTTCGAAAATGTTACCTTAATATATAAACAATAAATATATAAAATATATAAAATAAAAGTGGAACGAGGGAGACGTATTTTGATAATGTTTTTTGTTGATGGAAAAGCCAAACACAGATATGAAGGTCACCTCCACTTTTTTAAATGAAAGTGCCCATTTTTTTCGAACACCTACGATTGTAGCCTATCTCATGACGAATATATAGTAATGATATACTAAGGTCGTCGAAG